GTGTGTGTGTGTGTGTGTGTGTGTGTGTGTGTTTCAGTGTGCAGTACCATCATGCACCAGCAGGCGGGGCCGCAGGCCTCTCTCTCTGAGGATGTGAATGAGCGCCGGCGCGGGGGAGAACACGTGACTGACGCTGATGTCGAAGCCCATCACACGCAGCTTCTGCACGAACCTCTCACGTGTGTTCTGAGTCTCATTAGTGCAGAAACGCACCGTCAGACCGGAAGCCATCAGCCTGACACACACACACACACACACGGCACTGCATACTTAGTGTTTATGTGGGGGACGTTTTATATTTGTATACATTATCTTTGTTTGTTTCTTTATTTCTTTGCCTGATCAAATAATGAGTCAAGAATGATCACAGCGGAGAGTCGACATTACTTTCGTTCAACACATTAAAAATTGTGGGATACTTAGTACAGAATAGCATACTAAACCATGTCATGTTACATATCACATAAAGATACAGCAGAAATAGTAAGAGTAGTCTCCGAATTCAGCCGGTGGATGTATACTGCAGATTTTGGCTACTGTAGTATGCACACAGAGAGTTAGCATACTATGAACAGTATAGGGAGCGAGGGATTAAGTATGGTAGTATGCTATTTCGAATCTATTCGATCTGTTATGCAACACTCTTGTCAATACATGGTCAACTGTATTCAAAAGTCATATATCACTATATGTCGTTGCTGTTATTATTAAGCAACACTAAGAGAGTGTCCAGCAATGCTGAATGAATAACTTTATTAGTAAACCGCGCGCTAGCTCTCACCTCCTCACTGCTTCTCTAGATCCGTGTATCGCCTGTCCTCCTCTCTCTCCGCTATCATACAGAACTCCACACATGTCTAAAATCACTCCTTTCACACTCTTCAGCCACTCCACACTGCTGCCTGCGGCCATGCTGCTGACGCGACTGCGCATGCGCGACACAGGGGATTCTGGGAAATGAAGTTCGGCGGCTGACCAAAGAAGGAAAACATTACACATGGATGTTTTGCGTATGTTTTTGATATAATAATAATTTAACTGATAATCATAACTATTAAACTATTTCTTGTTATGGTTTTAAATCTGTATTTAACCTCAGAGCGATCTCAAAGTAAAACGAGGTGCTAAAGTCTGATTTTGTGGTGGCTGTGCTTTAAAATTAAATTATTATAATCTTAATTCAAGTGAAGAAGGATTTCGCAAGTGACAGTAATCAGTGTTTTAGACAATATTTGGCCAAAAATATATCAAGAAGGCAGATGAATAATTAGTGTGTGAATGAATAAAGGAGCTCGAGGCAATCCTGCATCAGTGTTGCGTCACACTTCGAGTCTCAATCATCACACACTCAATCACTCCAGCTTAATCACTTACAGTTGCGATTAAACCACTATAAACTATAAGAAATGTGTTTTAAACGAACGCTTTACATTTCTGCAGAAAGCGGTTAAACATTGAGCAGAGCCGGTTGCGTCATGACGCAGAGTGACGTGTGTGCGTGCATTTGAATAATCCGTATAGAGGCAGCGCGAGACACGCACTCGGAACAGAATCGACCCGCACGAGCCCGCAGCAGGTAAAGACACGCATTAAAGCAGCGCACAGCCGTAGGGGTGAGATAGACATTAATAACGCAGCGAGGGCTGATGAATATTTATAAACACGAGTATGTTAATGACGCGCGTCAGCTTCAGTAGAGCAGCGGCGAGGAAGAGGAAGAGGGTTTGAGTGATGAAGGTAACAGGTTCATGTAGGATTCAGTGGGAGTTTATTCAATGATATTCAGATGCTTTGTTTTAATATGGTTACTTTAGTGAGCTTTTCTTGACTGCTGTGTAACTGCACTATACAAACCTTACCTGTGTGTGTGTGTTAGTTAGTGAGTGTGAGAGAGAGAGAGTGTGTGTGTGTGAGAGAGAGAGAGAGAGAGAGTG